CGATGTTGATGGCAGCAAAGGAATATACCCCAGTCAAAACAATCCTAACTTTGCATGCAGAGAGAGAAGTGCTGAAGAGAGAAGTCCCAGTACTTGGGTAGAAGAGTTACTGACTCAATTCAAGAACACACCCTTTGCTTGATTATTTACGGTAGAACAGGGATGAGTCTCTAGACATTGTTACAGACACATGGCAATGTGTAAGTGTAAGAGACTATGATCTGGTGTAACTCATATATTTGAGAGCCATGAGAAGTGCAAATTAAAGCTCAAAGTCCTGTATATAGGGTTTTATACCATTTGAATTTCTCATTAGGCTTCTTTCTCTCTTTGTAGTGGGAATTATTCTAGCTTCAATCATTCCTACATAATTTGATTTCAATCGAGTTTTGTTACATCATCCAAACTCACTTCACTAAAGGCAATTTAATTCTAGTTCAGCATACATTGCAACTAGTGATTTACCTCAACTGTTTTTGAGTAAATTTTAAACTGGATTGATTCCTTCTAAATGAGAAAGCCAAGGCTGGTCAAAGCAGACTCACTGATTCAAAACTTATAAGGCAAGTCTTTTTTAATTCTTTCATCTAGATTAGACATTGGACAAATTGGCTAGCTGGCTACCTGCTCTTCAATTCTGGAAATGGGAACCTGAACCATCAGTAAATGCAACCTTACGTCAGTGTTTGCTGACCAGGAATTACTGCAATGAAAAGTCAGGTGTCACTGGGAATCAATCTCCACTTGTAGCAGGCAAGCCTAAACAAGGATTGCAAACGATAAGTGAAGGCTTCCTCTGTGCTTTAAGCTCCTCTTGGAAGCATTTAATTCCACCGTTGCTTTCTACCCACTGAACGATGTTTTCCTTTTCTCTCTGTCTTTCTATACCACTGTAGTCAACTAGTCAAACATGAAGAATGCAGACATGAAATGTGACCGGCCTGGATTTTTTTGTCCTTGAGTTTATTCAACAGCTATCTCCTCCAACATTGATCTGGAAACGCATCTATTCACAGACTTTCTCCTCATGATATAGATACACCCACATCTAAACAAGTATGGTCTTTTAATGAATCCCTCAAATCATTCATTGATTCCCTAAGCAGAAAACTATTTCACTATTTTACTCACTCTTTCAGGTTTTTTTACAGTAGCACGGGAAAAAAATAGAGTAATTTGCTTCCTTGGGAAAACAGACTGTTATTCATTACCTGCTGAAAGACTGCTCATCTCAGCTGACAAAGATGCCCTTTCCATAAACCTCTCAGATTTAAGATTGTGATTTCAAGACAGCTCGCATATTATACGTATTACTCCACAGTTTTTATTATTGACTTTATCAGGCCATTAAAACATAGGCAGATTTTCCCAGACAGGTAAATACTCATTGGAAAGGAGAGAGAGAGAATGAGACATTAGAAATGGCCCACAAAACCTAGGCCTTGCATTATCTTTGTAATGCTTTCAGCTGAAACTTTGATGATGAGAGTGGATGGAGCCTTATGAAAAATGTGTAGTGGGTACTTAAGAAGTTCTGGGAATGGACAGTGGCTAATTGACCCCTAAAATGTTGGAAACATTGATCTAAATCCAGTGTCTGAGAATGTTAATATCACATACTGAAGAATTTGAGTACCAATGTGACCTCTGCAGGTCACAGTGCTGTGGGCTTGTTCTACTGTTCAGGAGAACAGTAGAGAAATACTACTCATATTCTTGTTTCTTGCTTCTTTTCCGTAACAAGCTAATAATCTTCTTCATGTATGCAGAAGGGAGAGAATTGTAGTAGAAATTCAGGCATAATTCTGCTGAAAAGCTTTATAGATTTCAAGTGAGATTCAGATATATTTTGTAGGATAGAGGGAGTTATCAGTGAACCAATGTTGATACGAAGAATCAGGCTTGATTTAAAGTTGTTCTGGCATGAACTGGTGTCAATCTACTTACTTTCATGGAGCTGCTGCAAATTTATATTGATGTAAATGAATTCAGAATGCATAGTACTTTACTAAAATACTCAGATTTAAAACTGAACAACAAAAATTTAAAACTGAACTGCTGTCATATCTGTAGCAGGGGCTTTAATTACTATAATTAAAGAAAATCTGCATGAGCTGAAAGATAGGTTGCAATTTGAAACATTCAAGTGAGAAGGACATTACCGTTCTGATAAAATCTTTAATTATACCTACATACATTTCTCAACAACTTTTTTAGCCCAAACAGTTTATAATCTTTTTTTTTAGGACACATGACAACTGCTTCAGTTCAGTTCAATTTAGGCTATGGCTAACTTCCCTTCCAAAGATTTTAATAGGCACCTTGCAAAATTCACTCAGATGTTTGTATGCAGTGGCCTATTCTCATCTGAGAACTCCTAGTTTCAGTAAAATGTATCTTATCAACCTGAAATGCTCATATTCTTTACACTTTAAAAGCTAATATTCCAAGGGTGAGTTGATGTACTATTGGCCATTGACTGAATTGTCACTGCTGCTGTTTCGGTTCTGCCATACAATCACGCAAGGAAAAGTACAGACTGCTTAGCTTCACAGGTCTCCTTAATAAAACCATAGGCTGCTTGTAAACGTCAAGCACCGTGTTGGCTCTGCCCTACTTCTGCTGCCCAGGAAAACTGGGCAGCAGCACAGGGACCACCAAAGGGCCTTGGAGTTATTGGCAGGCAGGAGTTTCTTGGGAGACACCAGTAGAAACCTGTGTCTTCCTGCCCGCTGCAGCGTTGAGGAGGGACACATACATGTAGTCATCCTTTGGCAGCTGGAAGATCTGAAAGAAAGATGAAATGGGGCTATCTCTTCTATTTGGTAAACAGGAAGCCCTGTCTCAGAGGTAAAAGACTTCTCTTTCTTCTTGGGTGCAGGAAGTGGAGCAGCTTCACGCAAGCATTAGGGAGTTCACTTCAGGGCAAGGACTCCCAAGCCCAGGGTTGGGAATCTTGGCTCACTTTCCTCTCCAGTAGCTGAAGTGTCAGCTGGGATAGGCTGGACCAAATTCTGCTATGTTCTCCAGGAGTTTAAAAAAAACTGGCTTAAAAGTAGGATTTAGTCTGCCTGAATTAGCAACTAACTGGCATCTAAGCTCCAGGGCAAGGAGAGAACCAGTTTTCCCAAAGTCCCTAAATCTTCTGTGGCCACTGAAAAGATCTGGGTGGCCCTTGAAGGCCACTTGTCTCTCTGAGCTGAGATCTGGCCTTTCCAAGGGTGGGCACCTAACCGGGGGCAGAGCGGCACGTCGGGCTCCTTGCCCTTCCTGGTTTTAGTGAGATACCAGGACTTTTTTTTTTTTTTTTTTTGTCAGGGATTTAAGACATTTTCAAGTGCAGAAGAGTTGTCTGTGGGCCTAACTTCCAGAGAAAGGCACTGCCTCGGGGCCTGCACTGCCGGCCCTTGCAGGCTGTCACTCTCTTGGTTTGGACCAGAGGTCCATTTAGCCAGGCACCCATCCGACAGGGACAGGTTGCTTCCTATTGATAAGATGAGGAGCAGCATGAACCACAGCCAAAAGCAGGTGCTGAGGAAAAAAAATAAGAAACACGGCCCTAAACAGATACCATGGGAAAGAGTACAAGAAGCAGAGCATGCAGGCAGATGGAAGTTTGTATCTGCAAAAGATTTAACTGCTGTTACCTCGTGTGTATCTAAACTTACTTTGGCAGGTGGGTCCTGGGATCCTGCTGTCTGAAGCATTCCCAAGATCTGGCTCTGTCCATCCGTGTAATCTTTGCAGGCAGCCTGACTTAAGTTTTACAAACTCAGTATGCCACTGAGGTAGCCAGTGGGCCCTGGACGGTAACTAGAAGTGCAGTCACAGAGTTGAAGCAAGTCCTCACTGGGAAAGGCTGCAGAAGTCAGGGAGCAGGAGGCCAGTGCACCAGGGAGGGGCGTAAGGACGTGAGAAGGATGCACAAAGGTAAGGACACTTGTGCGCCCGGTGTACCTTCTTCTGATTTCAAGAATCAGGAAATCTATGGCAAACCTGGGCGTGCATGAATATATGAAGCGTGTGCTCGTTAACGTCACCTGTAGCATATTGCTGCCACTTTCAAAAAATGATTGAGTGCCCTGGCCGTGCGAGGTGAATTCCTGGAGAGGGTGCGAGCAGTGACACGGCGTCAGGGCACATCATCGACTTATTTGCACGCGTGAACCGGCTCTGGCAGGGAGCTGACTGAGCAGCGTTCGGGGCAACCCTTTCTTCCAGGCACCTCAGCCAAGTGCCAAAAGCCAGCCCCGCGGCCGCAAATCCGCTCCAAGAATTTACTCAGCGCAAATCCCAAAGCAGAGCGCAAACCCTCCCGCAAAGCCCTTCATGTCGAGAGCCCTTCGTCGGGACACCGGCCACGACAGGCAGCGCCGGGTCCCTGCTCCGGCAGCGCCGGCGCTGATGCCGGCGCGTGTACGGTACAGGGTGATGTAGGGGTGTGTGACACATATGTTAAGAGCGGTTTTAAATTTTGACGTTCGCGAACGTCACGTTAACGCCGGACGGGTGGCAGCGGCCTGAAACCGGCTGAACCGTTAGGTGGGGATCGCCTGCCCGGTGGGCTCCGGAGCAGGAGCTGTCGGTAAGCAGGCCGGCCGGCCGGCAGACCGGCCATGTAGCACCCACCGGGGGCCGGCGCTGCCGCGACCCGACCCCGGGAGCAAGCGGAGCCGCCGGCCCCGGCCCCGGCCCCGCGGGGCCTCCGGCGGCGCCCGCCCGCCCGGGCCGCTGGGGGCGGGGCCCGGCGGGGGCGTGGCCAGGCGGAGGCGGTGCCCGGCTGGGGTGGGTGGGGCCCCGCGCGCCCCCGCCCAGAGCGATTCCCCCCCCTCCCGACCCCCCCCCCGTCCCGACCCTCCTCCCGCTCGCCCAGGCGGCGGCGTCGATTGGCTGAGGGGCGCGCGCGTGACACCCGCCCCGCGCGCCGGCGGGAGCGGAGGAGGCAGGTGGGCGGGGCGAGAGGCGGGCACTGCGTTGCCGGGGTGACGGGGGGCGGGCGGCGCGGCGGGGCCGGGCCGGGCCGGGCCCTCCCGCCATGGGCTGCCGGGCCGCTGTCAGCGGGATAAGAGCGGAGCGGGCGGCCGGGTCCGGCGGGGCGAGGAGCTGGTAAGGGTGGGGCGAGTGGGTATCGCTGTCTTCGGCTCTCGGTTTGCGGGGCCGGGTGGGCGGCAGGCGGCTCGGCGGGCACAGGCCCCGCTGCGGGTGTCGGCGAGGGGGCGGCCCACCCGAGGCCGGCGACGGTGGGGGCCGCGGTGCGTGGGCTGGGCCGGGGCGGGCTGTCACTCGGCGCCTGCCGCCTCCGTGGCGTGGAGGCGCCCGCTGGATGCCGCTGGCGGCTGAGGGCAGCCTGGCGGGCGCCGGCGCGGGAGGCGGAAGCAGCGGCCGCCGGTGGCGCAGGCGGGGCCCTGCCCGCCCCGGGGCTGCCCGGGCCGGGGGCCGCCGGAGGGGTACGCGCGCGCTCGGGGCCCCGCGTGTTTCGCGTGGTCAGGCGCCGGGGCTGGTTCCCTGCGTGTGGTGAGTTGGAACGAGGCGGTTTGTGGCCCCTTCCTCGCGTGTGGCCGCCGCCTCTGCCGAAAGGCGACGTTTGAGGCTCCGCGGGTGCGCCCGGGTGGTGTGCGTGGGGCGGTTTTCCGTGCCCCGCCCCCGTGTCACCGGGGTGCCGTGGGCTGTGCCCTACGGCGGGCTGCGCTTTGCGACGTGTTTGTGCAAAGCCGGAGCACAAAGCCTCGCTGTCCATGAGGCGTTTGTTGAAGATAAGAGATAACAAATGAAGAAAAGCAAATGAGGGCAGTTCACGGGAACGTGATAACAACAGCCGCTGCGCTTCAGCACCTGAACTGTGCTTTTTTAAATTTTAAATCTATTACGAGGAGCGGACACAGGAGCAGTGAGAACTCTTCTAGATAGTCTCTCAGCGTGGGAAAGAATGTGTGAACATACTTTAAGGAGGGGAAAAAAATAATCTAAGAATTGGACATTACCTGGTATCCCCAAATGAACTAAAGAGCTGCTTTTTGCTTGCTTATACAGTGAGAGAGAAGGCAGGAAAAGCAGGTGCATCACGGGAGGTGAGAATAAAACTTCATGTGTCAAAGAGAACAGAGCAATTGGAAGAAATTCAGAAAGAGGATCAGATGACTCAGTGTGGTGGCCTAGGAGCTGGAAAAGCATATAATATTGTTATAAGTGGGAACTGGCTAGAGAAGAAAGTCTGGATGGGAGACATTTTCTTTTCCTTTTTAGTTGTGCTACATGAATCATAAGCCTTCAGTATAAGGATCTAGAGAAACTTGGAGTTAGTGACAAAAGCTTGTCTCACTAACAGAATTGTACGGTTACCTGTGAGGTGGTGGGACAATCTTTGGCAGAAAAACCAGCAAGGAGATTTGTTTGAGTCATGTGTATCATGATCTTAGGCTAGGTATCAGAACAGAGATGTCTGGAGCACTTAACCCTTCCTGAAGGAGGGATCAGAATTTGCTCGCTTGGACAAGAGACCATGTCTGCATGGAGCTTTTATTACAACGGGGCGGCAGCGTGGTAAGGAGTCAGGAAAATACTCTTGAGTCTCCTTTTTGCCTTTAACTGTAGGCTCACAGACTAACAGTGCAAAGAAGAAAGTGTCCTCTTGGATACCTTAGAAAAAACTGTGGTTTAGTGGCTCTTAGTCTCTGGTGGATGTTTAAAGTAGAGTAAATGAAGAATGAGAATGCTTTCATGGATTTTCATAGATGAGGAAAAAAAAAAGTGTATTTTAATTTTACTTTTCTTTCTTCCTCATTGTACTTTGGACAGAGAATCTTACAAGCTAAGAACAAGTAGCTTTCAATGGCTTACTTCTAAAACCAAAGTTAATAGTAGGTGAGGTCTCAGGAAGTCAGTTGTCACTTGGTTTGTAACACTGTATACTGTCTCTTAAAAGGAGCTTTTTTTCATGTCACTCCCTTTTTGCTTTCCTTCTTTCCTTCCCCCATTAGTTTTTTTACTGTACTTGGACAGCTTTGCATTAAAAAAGTTTAATTGTAAGAAGTTGTTCTGTTAGGTTAGTAACTATTTAATTAAGATTCATCTTAATTGCTTCTTTTGCTTCCTCCTTTCTCTTAGTCCCTGGTAATTTTTTTCATGTGCCTCTATCTCAGTTTTTAGTGAAGTTTAAGACAATAAGAAAAGAGACTGTAAGCATCTTAAACAGTAGTGTAGGATCTGCTCCAAAGTTACTTAATATGTAAACATTAGAAAAGAACACCTATGTTAATACTTACTAAAAGTTGCTGCTTTTATATGGTTCTCTTTACAGTTAAGTTCAAAGAGCATAAGCAAATACTATGAAATATGAACAAACACTTCAGGAAGCTATCAGTTCTGTATTTTTATTGTCAGTGATTTATTTAATAAGGCCATGTGTGTCCTTATTAATATACAGTTGTACCCACTTGCAGATTGTGCAGGGATCTAATTTCATTTGTATTTGAAGAATTTTGCCATTGTCATGGTCGTCTCTTTTCAAATAAGATAATGTTGCACGCAGAGGAATTCTGAATAAAAGCTGGTTTTGATACTTGTCTTTTGCGGTCAGAAGGGAGCAGAGGGAATGTAAGGTGAGATGATTATTTTGTAAGAGGATTCTGTCGCACCAGGAAGCTCTTGCTGTCCAGATCATGCTTGCTTGTCCTCTGAGGGCAAATTTAAGTGCTTTGGAGTGAACAGCCATCATCAACAAGACCTCACTACTGTCAACTTTATTCCTTTTTGAGGAGATAGCAGTTTCTGTGGGCTTCCTTAGTGAAGAACTGTAGTAGCTCTTCCTGAGATGTCACTACTTCATATTGTTGATTCAACTTGATGGTCATCTTTTCTCATGTTTGTTGGAAAACTGGATTATAATCTTGGAAAAGGATTGTAATAGGCTCTGGAGGGAGGGCCCTATGTATATATGTATGGGATTACTTTGTCTCTTGCTTTCCTTTCCAGTTTGGAAATGGTTGTGAGAATGTCAGTTACTCTGGCAAATTATTGCTTGATGAAGACTCATAAGCCTGTAGATAGTATCAAGTTACTGAGCTGGCATCATCAGAGCTATCAGCTCCTGCTATAGCACTGATCTGGAGATGATATACCTGTTTTTAGACTGGGACAAGATCAAGTAGAAGAGATCTGTGGTTACTTCTGTCACCTGGACTGATTTGTCTGAGCTGGCTAAGCTGATGGAACAGCTTGTTACTGCTGAAGGGGGAGATCTCCTGTCTGCTTTCTTCCCTTTGCTGGCAGTAACAACTGTCTGATCCCTCAACGTGGCAATTCAACAACAACAACAAAATCCAGCTGAAAAAAGTAGTTTTCTGCAGGCCAGTGGAGATGAGTCACATAGAGAAGGAATTGGACGAGCACAGTACTGGAGGAAGAAGGGAAGAGTTGCTGGGGAGGAAGGGAAAAACCTTTTTGCTAGTTGAGAGTTGTCAGGTGGGCTGAGCTGCCTTGTTTAACTGTACCCTAGCTGCTCCTCAGGAGGTGGGGGCTTTTGCTTAGACTCAACAGGGTGTCTGCTTCAGCTGTCGTGGTCATTTGAAAAGAACTAATAAAGCAGCATGGTATGCACTAGATCCAGATTTTCTTTCCCTCTGTTTGGATTCAGGCCTTGCAGTTGAACAAATGTCTTTCTGTGACTTGTTGAAATTAGTGCGTGGGAATATCTTGTGTCCAGATAAAGCACTCTGTACAGAAGTGATATTGGAATGCATGAAGGGGAAGGAGAAGATGATGCTATATGCAATCTTGAGGTTTTTCTTGCTGTAAGCTATTAGCTGTTCATGGTTCATATGTGCAGCCTGGGGTCTGATTAATATCCCCTTTTTTCTGGTAAGTCAGTTTTTTTGGTGATAACTATTACAGTAGAAATGTGAGTCTTGCTAGTGTGATTTTTAGGTAACTGTGCTATGCTCCGTATGAAGATACATCTTAAATCTGATTGCTGAATGTGAAAGCGAGACAGAACAAAACCAAAAAATTAATGAGTTTATGTATGTTGAAGAAGGGAGAGGTATGTAATACTGTGATCAGTGTAGTGAAGTCCTGTGATACTGCTATGTTTTGGTACCTGTAACTGCTGAAACTTCTATTGTATCTTTGTTCCGGATATTTCTCTTAAATTCCACTAGCTTCTTTTAGTCACCACTGCACTTCATATTCTGTAGCTGAGGTATTTTGTGGTTTTGGTCTCTTACAGAAGAGCCGGACTTCCACTCTTCTGCTTTTCTGACTTATTTTAGTCTTCTTCACTCCCATAAATAACTCAGTACTGCCTGCTGTTACTGTGAGCGGGATTTTGCAGTGGCCACACAGTGGACGAGCACTGAAAGGGTTTTCTTCTGCACTCCTGAGCTTGTGTAGTCCACTGCAGGCATCTGGGGCTTGCCCTGTGACACTTGTGTGCTTGGGGTTTTTGAGCTGTGTGGAGCAGAGTCACTGTGATAATTACTCTTACATTGTGAAAGAGATTTTCTGTGCTTTCTGGATAATTTGTAAGGTGGAAAGCGGAGGGCAGAAGTGATGAATGGTGATTTGCGAAAGATGTGGAAGAGGAGTGCCTGTTAGACTGTGTCTGTGTCAGCAGTTGAGCAAGCATCTCACAATCTGGGCTAATCCTCACGTTTATGCATTCTTTGCCCTCTCTTCCCGCACCCAGCGAGTTGAGCTCCTTGACTTCAGTTAAAAGCATCGCCATGCTCCATGAAAAAGTATGAGAGCATGAAGTACTAAATGTGAGGTGGGAGGAGAGAGTTCCTGGTTCTTTAGACTTCTGACTAGAGAAAGACCTTGCTGCTTTTCCAAGAGGAAACTGGGAAGATGAAATATCAGAAGGAATTAATGTCAGGTAGTGCCAAATGCAAGGCTTCATTGGAAGCATTAAAACTAATACTCAGTTTTATTTTGGCAAACGCCTGACTTCACCGATTCCTCTTGAGTATGGTGGAGGCATTTACTGAAGATTTGTGTTCTTGGGGGAGATAAATCGCAAAAAGCATCTAACTAGATCTGTTGACCCCAGTAAGCAACTGATTTGGTTAGATTTTAGTGTATTAACTAAAAAAATGAGGAATGAGTAACAG